TCCATGTTCAAATCCCTTTAAGCTGTCCTGCTCAGCTTGGGATTGTGGGGGGGGGGGGGAGTCCAGTTTTTAAAAAGGACTAGCAATTTCCCGAGGAGAAGGGGGGAGGGAAGGGGGGGTAAATGAAAAGGTGTTCGCTGACGTGCTCCGCTTTTATTGCTTTTTGTTCCCCGCCTCTTGTTTTAGCACCTGGAAAATTGGCGGTGCCACCTCTTCGAGAAAATCAATAAATCTTCCCTCCTGGGACCCAGCCGGCTTGCAGATGTTGGCAGTCGGGTTTGCCAGAAATTCAAAGCCATTCCTGACATGTGGGTGGAGGAGGAGGAGGAGGAAAAGGAAGAGGAAGAAGAGAAGCAGGATTCACTATTGCGACACCTGGTTCCCCACCACCACCAATCCCTTAAGCAAACTTGAAGTCACCTCTTCCACGCCCAGGTTGGGGGGGGGGGAGAAAAACACACAGCGCCCTAAAGAAAGTCTATTTGATGTCCGGATTCCATCTCCATTCCGAAAGGGCCGCAGAGGTACCAGAACACAAAAGTCTCAAAGATCTAGGCTGTAAAGAAAAAGATCCATTTCCCTCCGCTTATGTATAAGGGAATGTCCTACACCAAGGCCTTCCCATCGGCCAGAGGCTGCCAGATGTTTTGAAACCTAGTTCCGGGTGGGTCCTCGGAGTGGAGTATTTAAAACAAAACAAAAAATCTAATTTGGAAGGGTGTGGGGGACTTCAGGGTACCCTTTTATACCTTAACAGGGAAACGGGCCTAAAGCATTTGGAACAATTACCCCCACCAGGCCAGTTAATGTATTTTTTTAAATTGAGGATTCCACACTGGCAACTGCAGTCTGTCCATAAAAAATACTGTTTTTAAAGAACGTACTTCCAACTGTCTAGCTATCACACAGTCTCCCATGGGTAACCACAGAAATCCACCCTATGCTCAAATGAACACACACCCGGACAGCGTGAAGCACCAAACCTTTCCCAAAGTGGCTGTGTGTGAGAGTGCCCACATTAACGCCCCTCTGACTCCCTCTTCCCCCCCCCAATATAACCCCCCCCACCACATTTCATCTCTCAGAGACAGAGAAGAACCAAGGAGTCAGGGGAAGGTTGGAACTTTTCATACATTTTCAAGTTGTGCCCACGCATAAACACCCTTGCATGCACACTGACACACGCGCACACACACATAGACACATCTGCTTTATTGCAGGAGAACCCAGTTCACACATTGAATTCCAGAAGTGGTGGAGGTGGGGGGGAGGGAGAAAGCTAGACTTCACTAAGCAACTGGTTCTACAGCCCAATACTATCATTCAAAGCACAAGCCTCCCCGTAGCCGACATTTTTTAAAAAAACAAGCACAAAACCAAAGCAGTTTTCCTTCCAGCGGGACTGCAGATAATTTTGTATTAATCCTGAAGGCAACTCTTTAAAGGCTGCCACCACCCCTTTTAAAAAATAAAACCTTTTTTCTCAAGCAGCTAAAATTAAACACCAAAACACAGGGGAAGTGACCGGCTATTTCTGCTGCGTGGCACATCCAGTTAAAGACAGACTTCGAAATCAAGGAGGACAAACCAGACTTTCGAGCAAGACCAAAAAGTGGGCTCAAGCGATCTTTAAAAAGCTTCCCAGTTTAGAAACAGGGGTGGAGGGGGCTCTGCCCAGTTCCCCCCCCTTCCTTTCCTCTCCCCACGTCCTGCCATCCAACCGCCCAGATTCTCCAACAAGAACGGAATTCATTTCAACAGCGACGCGGATCCAAGCAGCAATCAAACATTTAAAAACCCTCTCAAACACAGGTCTCATTCAAATGCTGTTTGGGGGGGAAATGGGCAGAGGGGGAGGGAGGAGAGACATTTTTTAAAATATGTGCTCAACCCTTCTGTTCCCAACTATGCATCTTGGCAAGCTGAGTGTCCATAAAACTCCCGGACGGCTTGCCAAACGGCCCTAACGAAACCAGTTAATGCTTAAACCTACAGTCATGCACATGGGGGGAGGCTACAGACACAGCCCTGCAAAATTCTGCAGGGAGGGGCGGGAAACAACCTCAGGAATAATTCATACGCAGGTCCAAGTAAAGATCCGCAACTGGGAGAAAAAAGACCTTCATAGCCATGTTTTAGCAAGGAAAATATAGCCACGGGAGTGACAAAACTTCCAGAGAATTGAGACTGCACATTTAAAGGCACTGAAGAACGTATCTCAGGACAGAGAGGAAAAAACCTTTTCACTTCCAGTGTCTTAAAGGGAAAAGGCTGTTTCACGTAGATATGGGATTTTTTTTTTTTTTAAGGAATCCAGGTTTTCAGGCAGCAGCCGGGACACAGAGTAGACCCGTGTTAGGATGCCAGATTTACTAGGGTGAAATAGATCAGGAATCCCTGGGCAGCCATGCGGGGTCTAAGGGATCAGTCCCGGGGAAACGACCTCCAATGGAGTCAGGCAGCCTCAAAAGGTTTCAGCTCTCCGGAGGTTCTTTCTACAAACAGGGAGTTTTTTCAAAAAAGATGGTTCCTAGAAAGCAGGGGAGAATGGGGGGGGGGGAGAAAGAGTCTATGCATGGGGGTAGGAAGAGAGCCATCTGTGGTTTCTTCCCCCCCCAAACCCCCCCCCCCCAAGTCTCATCTTGGGAAATTATCCCTATGCACTGGAGGGAATCAGAAACCCCAGACCAGGGGAGAATATAGGATTATCTATAGGGCTTGATTGAAATGAGTTTTCCGTCGGGTCTCGGAAAGGGCAGATGGGGGGGGGGTCTGTTCCAAATGTAGGGCAACCTAAAGAACAGAGAATCTGCAGCCCACAGCTAGAGACATGGGAGGGTATATTTTAGAAACAAAAGCCCCCCTTGAGCCAGGAAAGGGACCTTTGGGGGAATGAGACTATCCATTTGGGGGGGGGGAGGACAGGGGACATCTGTGTGTGTGTGTTTTAAAAAAATGGAAGTCCCATCTTGCAAAAATTACCTGTGTTATACGGTCTATATGGAGAGACCCTAGACCATGAGATAATTTTTTTTAAAGGTGAAGGTTTCCCTTGCTGAGATAATATGGGGTGAGATATACCACCTAACTCAAATGCGTTTTTTTTCCCCAGCCGATCCGTTTAGAATAGGGAGTTGCCTACAGACCAGAGAATCTGCAATCCACCAGTTGCCTACAGACCAGAGAATCTGCAATCCACCAGTTGCCTACAGACCAGAGAATCTGCAATCCACCAGTTGCCTACAGACCAGAGAATCTGCAATCCACCAGTTGCCTACAGACCAGAGAATCTGCAATCCACCAGTTGCCTACAGACCAGAGAATCTGCAATCCACCGTTAAGGGGGAGGGGGAGGCTGAATTTTAGGGACAAAAGCCCCCTTGGGCAAGGAGGGGGGGTCTTTAAAGCACTGGGGGGGCATTGCAAGAAGGAAAACTGAAGCTGGGGAGGGGGCAGCACTCACACACACACACACACATCAGTAGGGGAACTCACCCGGGTGCGAATGGAGGTTAAGGCCGGAGGCGAGGTACTTCCCGGGGGCAAGAGGGGCGGGCGGCAGGCCGGCGGCGGCCAGGCGAGCGGCGGCGGCGGCGGCTCCAGCGGCCGCCACCCGGTGCTGGCTCTCCATGGCCAGGCCGGAGAGGAGCGGCGGGGGGACGTGGACCGAGCGGGGCCCCCCCAGGTCTCTTCCATCCATCCTCCGCGGGGCAGGGGCACGCTTCTCCCCCCCGCCGGGGGCTCAGAGGCTGGGCAGGGGGTGGGAGAGGCCCACCCGGAGCTCCGGCCCCGGCCCCATTCTCCTCCTCCTCCCGAGGAGGCGTCCGGAGCCCTTCGCCTAGGAAAAGATGCAGATGCATTAGGGGGGGCGGGTATTTGAAGGGAAAAAACCCAGACATGCATGGGTTTTTTTTTTTCTCACATTGGGGGGAGGCTTTGCAATGCAAAAAAAAGGGGGGGGAGACATAACCAGTGTTCCCTCTAAGATGGGTTGGTGTGAGCTAGCTCACAGTGTATTAGCCTCTGGCTCACATGTTTTTGTCTTAGCTCAGGGAGGATGGCTCCAGAGCAAACTAATTGAGGCAGCAGCCAAATCGAATCGCTCGCTCACAACTTCAGTGCCAGTAGCTCACACAGAAGAATGTTTGCTCACAGGACTCCACGGCTTAGAGGGAACATTGGACATGACTAGTATCTCCCCCCCCCCCAAAAAAAATAATCCCCTGCAACGATTTATCCACCCTTTTAAACAGTTTCTTTTTAAAAAAAAAATGCAAGCAAAATGAAAAAGGAAATGGAAATATTCAGCATGCAAAGGGGGAGGGCGGGTTGGAGAGGTGCTTTCTGCAAGGGAGGGGGCAGACAGACTCCCTCCCAAATATTGCTGCGTTTTAATCGACCTTGCAAATGGCTCCAGGAGCTCCTGCTCCAGAAGCAGCGACTTACTTACTCGGGCAGCGGGGCTTTCCCTGCCAACCCACCCCCCCCCGCCGCCGCCCTTCTCCAGTCTGTTTACTTCCTCCTGGACGTGGCTCGGATCGGGGCCGCCGTTCCAAAGCGCCTCTCTACCCGGTGAGTAAGCCCTGCCTCGCTTGGATCGGGGCCGCGAGAGAGCCCAAGCCTTGGGCTCCCTCCCAAAGAAGAGCGACTACTAAAAATGGGATTCGCACCCTGAACTACATCATCTTTGGAGAGAGAGGAAAATGAAGGGTAGACATTGTGGCCCAGGCTCCCGGTTCTATTTAATGGTTAACCTTTTTTTACGGCCAGAAAACACGGAGGCCAACCCTTCCGATCCACAGCCGGACAAAGGGAGGCTCAATTCCCCCTAAAGAAGCTTGCAAGGAAAAGGGTTTTGTGGAAGGGCCAACTGGGTTTTATGACTTAATAGGAAGCCATTCCCTGCCCATAAACCTAATTTTAGAAATGGGTTAAAAATGGAAACAACTCTGCATTTGTCCAAGCAGACAAAACAAGAATCTCTTTTACTGGTTAAAAAAAAAAATTGTAATTCCACATCAGGGAAGGCAGGCAGGCAGGCCCAGTTGATTTCGACGGGGGGATACTTCCCAATAAAATAGGAGTAAGGGCAGTAGCAAAAAAACTGGCTAGCACAATATTTGTCATCTTTGTCCCACACCTAGAATTCCTTCGAGGTCACGGGGATATACAGGGCCGTTCGGCACAATATTTGCCTCTTAAAATATTCCTAAATGCTTGGGCAGTGTAAAAAGAGGGAGGGTTGTCTAGGAAAGGACATCGTCTGTTTTTAAAAAACATTTTTAAAACCGGCTTTAAAAAAAAACCCCTCCCCAAAGATAGTCAGTAGCAGTCCTGAAATCCTAAACATCCTAAAATATTCTTAGCTTCTCGCTCTCCTTTCTGAGGGGGGTGGGGGGAAATACTTGGGTCAAATCAGTTTCCACTTGCAGTCGACAAAAGATGGAATCCACTAAACGCACAAATTTTTAAAATTAAGTTTAAATTAATAATTTCTTGCTTTAAACCAGGTTCAGGTTTAAACCTGAGCCGGCCTTGGCTGGGAGGGTATAATAGATAAAATAAATAGATAAAAATAGATTATAATAGATAAAATAAAAATAAATAAAAACTACGGCCGGGTTTACAGATACGCATTCCTCCCAACGCAATAGGATAACCTTAACTCGGATTTCCCCCCGTCTTCTTCTTCTCTAAGCTATTAAAAAGATGAATTGTTGGCTGTTGGACGCTTTCTATTTTAAGCAAACGCAGAGCTGGTGGTCTAATTTCCCTATGTGCCTGTGCTGAAATATGAAATCGACATTTTTGTTCGGCTTAATTTTCATAAGATTCCTGCATCAGCTTGAGCGAAAACATGGATCTCTGTCTAAATATAGACAGGCCCACAGCTTAGTTTCATCTCATCCAGGAATCCGATGCAAAACCCAGCCAACAATTTTCAAGTTTGCATTTTTGCGGCTCTCTGAAGTATCTGTCCAGATCTAACTCAGGGGCTCAGTTCGAGATAACTGAAGAATCTGATGAAATGAACAAGCCAGGAGGGAGGGGGGGGGGGGGGGATATTCAAGTTGGGCTTGAAGGGAACCAGGCCGTTTCTGCCTCGTTCCCCTCCCTTTCCTTGTTCATTCCAGTATGGCTAAATTCCTGATTTTAATTAAAAACAGCCTAGCCTTTAAAAAAAAATTACCCCGTCTGTTTCTTGGCTTTTTTCTTTTGCACAAACTGCTGCTTGCCAAAAAACAAAATTCTCTCGAACTGCTGTTCCAGCTACTTCTGCCCTTGTTGCTACTTGTGGGTGCTTTGGGGGTGTTTGGGGGGGGGCTGGGAAAGAGAAAAAGCTTGGGGTACTCAAATCTGATCTACTTCTGGAGGAGGGGGTTGGGAGGGGCTCAGTCAGATACAAACCTCCCCCCATTAAAAAAAACCCACTTACAAAGTAGATATCTTACCTTGCTTAAGGAATTCCCCCGGTTCAAAATTCCAATCAACTCCTCTTCTTTGGCATTCTTTAGCTGGGATATATATATATATATATATTTTCTGTGTTGCTCCCCAAATCCCTCCCTGCCTTCCAAAAAACAAAAAAAAATAGATCCAAACCAAGTAGCTTCTTCCTTCCTTCCTTTGGGTAAGCCCCCAAAAGCCCGCCGCCCACCCCCCAAAAATAAAAGCTTCTTTTTTGTTGCTGTCGTTTCACTTCTCTGTGGGTCTGCAAGACTTGCCTCCCGCCGCCCCCAAAAAAAAGGCAGGAGCCGAGAGGTGGTCAGATTCTCTGGTCTGCTCGGCGAGAAATCCAACTTCGCGGCCGCTTCTTCCGCCTCTCCTCTATAAACTCCCGGCGGCGCTGGCTGGAGACAGACTTGAGAATCTCCATAGACGGGGCTCAGGGTTGGAAAAGGTGCATTACACAAAAAAAAACCCTTTCAAGTTCCTCTCGGTAGATCTTAAAAAAAGAGAGAGAGGGAGAGAGAGAGAGAGAGTAGGGGGGAGGGGAAAGGGAGGGGAGGGGGGGAGAGAAG